TAAGTCTGCTAGGCACAGATAAATTATGTAGTGCTTTTCAGGGACAGCTACTAGTGATTTGAATATTCAAACCCAGTAGATGATTTGCCATTGCAAGTAATCCAGGCTCCCATGCTAATGTGGACAATCGAGACTCCCAGTTAATTTACGTAATGTTTACTGAGTCTCTCCTCTCTGTGAGGCACTGTGCTAGGGCTGGAGTTCCTTCTCTGCCTTTACTTTTTCCTGCTCTCCCTTCCTTCTNTCACAGCGCTCACTGGCTGAGCGCGGTGTGGCCGGTCTCAAAAAGGACAAAAAAAAAAGGATTATTTAGAAATAATACTATGCTTTTTGAATCAGTAAACCAGAATAGGAAAATGGAAATTAGCAATAGTAAGACTGTTATAGTTTTTAAGTCAAACTTTTTATAAATAAATTAGCATCTGCACAGTCTTACTCTGAGCACATGCTTTAAACCAGGGTTTGCAGATATTTTTGTGTAAGTGAAATAATATGCCTAGCAATGGACCAATACGATTTCTTATTATCTGTTCTTGATTTATTCTTATTAAGCACACTATGTGCTTATGCAAATGCTTTGCTTTATTTTTCCGTTAACTTAGTATTAAGGAGAAACAGAACCACAGTTTTAAGGATGTTTTCATATGCACTAATCGGAATTTGCTTACCTCAGTTGATAGAATTGAAAGAGGTAAATAAAAAGATAATGTAAGATTGAAGATTCAAAAAGTTACCGTTTTAATGTAATTTTAGGACAGTTTAAAAGTTTGGTAGTACAGATAAGAGACCTGATCACCGATAGGTTATTTTTGTACTGTAAAAATTGTATGTTTTTGAAAATGTCAAAAGATCTAGTTGCTGTTGGTTTTTAGGATGGATGAAGTTGGGAGGGAGAAAAATAGTGGTGTTTCTGTGGGGATAGAGATGGAAAAGGTAAGTTCATTTCTACCTGAATATAAATATAATTGTCTGATAAATCATAGGGAAGACCATTGGAAACATTATAGGAATTAATATTTTTTATCTTTTGAGTTTTATGACACCACCAATTGTGATATGAATTTTAGATCAGTGTTTCTCAAACTTCAGGCTAGAAATACATTTTAAAGAGTCCGAAAATCTCCATGTGCAGTAAGCATTATTTATGAGTGCTATTGTGATTTAGTAAAATATAAAATCATTGAACTGATTCATTGAATTTGTAGACACTTTTTGATATATGTTTTCATAATCAATAGTTGTTTGGAGAGATCATCAAACATGTTAGAACATGCTAACCAATAG